TACGCGATCTGGCGCTGCTATAGGCTACCCAAGTAGCAAATTTTATTTTATAAAGGCTGTATAAACAGCTATGTGATAATTTTTATAGGATACCTCAATTCATATAACGTGCTATAAGACCGTAATATGATAGCTTTACAACCAAAAAAGGCCCATTTTTATACAACCGTTTAGTAGTATAGAAATTCTATAAAAAGGGTATACAACTCTTATGCAACTATTTCACAAAGCGTTATATAACTATTATAAAACTTGTTTTATTGTGTATTACGTGGTCACATCTAAGAAACAGAACAATAAAAACATTTGATCATTTAGCGAGGTAAAAGAGTATTTTATTTTTTTTTACCGAAGAATATTAGAGCAAATTATATTTTAAGCGTAATCGTAAAATGAATCTAGAGGATGTGGATTGTTAAAAAGGAGACTTTACTCGACAATGAAAATGGCGGGTAGAGCCAGAAGGTACAACAAATATGTAATATAAAAAATCATTAATAGGGTTTGAAAAGTAGGGACAATTTTTGTTGCGCCGAAAATTTTACTTGTAGATTATAGGTATGTATTTGGCAAAAAATAAAGCGCTTTTAATTTCGATTAAGGTTTACGTATAAATTTAAACAATAAAATAAAATAAAATTTTCAAAAATTCCTGTTTTTAATTTAATTAAACACTTTATTACTGTATGTGGGAATCTTATCACAAAATAGTTCTCAAAAATAACATTTTACAATTTATTTTGATGTTTTTAATTTTGCTTCATATAATGGCGGCCATAGGCCATACCAAAATTCTGCCTTAAACATGGCGAATTATAATGCAACCATTTTATTACAAATGAATCCCTTAAATAAGTCTATTTTGGACATATTGGGATTTGTGACAAATAGATGTCGCCAAATCTCATTTGATTAGTATTTAAACTAACAAACATGATCAGATTTTCATGGATTCATGCACGCAATGCATTTCATGCGTGCCCGACGAGTGAGCGGCAACCTAAGGACTTTGAAAAACAACAATAAAACAATACAAACATTATTACAGTAAAACTTTTACATCAATGTGGCAACAATGCTTTAAAGAAGCCAGACAACCCGAGAGATTTTGGCTTTTGGGAACCCAGGGAATTCTCGGGATTATTTTCCGAAATTTAGAGAGGAGTTTTTTCTTACATGCTCTTTATAACTACCACTGCGTTTGTTAATTTTTTTCCAACTTTGTCCAGAATTCATAATAGCTGTGATTGATTATACTCGTACGTAGATATTACTTTTGCAACAACAACAATAACAAAATAAATTCCTACTAGGTACACCATTAAATTTAAAATGAGGTTATATTATACATTACCAGTTTTATAATGCAGATATTACAGCGAATTTATTTTGTTAATCACAATTTTATCATATAAGGTTATATAACTGGTGTTGTATACAGCATCGTAGTTTAACGCAATAAAACATTCTATCATACAACGTAATACAACTTTAATAAGACAAGTTTAAGTAACTATTATATGATATTGTGACTACTAGTTATATGAATATTATAGAACTCTTACATGGTGGGTATAAGAGCCTAATAAAATAATATGTTTGTTATCATATAGCATTGTCTTATTAAGTGTTATATCATACTAAAAGAAATTATCGTTTAATGCGTTATAGGATACGTTGTAAAAACCACTAGAAAATAGTTTAATATGACAACTTTAATTAAAAAACAGAATGGTCGGAACCAAACGCTTAATAAAATCAAGCAGTCCTTAAGACAACGCTATTCGACTGTTATAAAATAATTCAATCCTTTTAGAATTTCTTTTTGCTACTTGGGTATAGCGGTTGCTAAGAACAACCGCAAACAAGAACAGAAATAACTTTCTTTTGTCAAAGTCAAAATCTTCAAAAATTATAAAATCTTTCAAATGAAAAAATACCGGAAAGTGTTTAAAGCGTCCATTTTCAAAGTAATTATTGCTATCTTGTGAGTTTAATTTAAATTTTACTTACTCAAACCCGTGATAATTGTGAAAAAGTGGTTTTAAAAACTAAAAAACTGTGTTGTGACTTGTGAACTGCAAAAACCATCGTGGATCGTGGCATAACGTCGGTTTCCAATGTTTCATAGGCATTTCACATTCACGTCCTTATATAAAATAAAGTTTGTTGTATGCAACACTCCATATTTTATTTATAGAAAAGAAAATAATAATAAATTTGAATAAACAATTTTTGGCGACATAATTCCGGAAAAAGCCGAACCGATCCGAAATTATTAAAAGCTTTGGGTCGCGACCGTTGCAAAACCAGCGCCAAATAGTGTTTACATTGTTCCTTTGAATAAGAAGACTAAGGAAGGAGCATAATTCTATCCATGTATTCATGCATGGTGGGCGGAAAAGCCACCATAAAAGCTCTCTAGGGTGGGGATCCTTGACAGTTCTGTTTGACGATTCATTTGACACATTTGAATTTGATTTGAAATTTTGTTGATTTGTCAGTCTTTACGGAGCTTATTTTATGTTATTTATTATTTATTCTACTACTGATAGTTGTATAAAGGTAGTAAATCTAGATGGAAATTGTGGCAGAACTTAAATTAACAGTGACACTATCGCGATTTATCGAAAAAGACTCTAAAATAGTTGGTTGTGTAGCGTGCGGTAGATCTCGGCAAAAATTGAGTGAAATAATGGAACAACTTTTCGCTAGTAAGTGACTATATAATATACATACGTGTAGTAAACCGATCATTTATGAAATTCACTTAAATTAACTAAATTATATATTTTTCTTGCATTTTAGCTTTTATTTATTACTTGTCAAAGATTAGATGTCAAAGAATTTAGATACGTTAATTTGACTTACCTGCTTCAGTAGCGTATCGGATGTTTGTGTTAATAAATACTTATTATAACTTATCTATTTTTATTAGAATTATATATTTTTATAATAATTTTAATAACTAGCAACATTTATTCACAACGTAAAATAAAACAACAAATTATTGAGTCTACCCCACGTCTACCCTACATCATAGTTTTACATTTTTTAAATAAAATTAGAACGACACTGATAAACCGGAATTTAAGTCGGCCATATTTGAGGCCTATCGCGGTGTACCTAAGATTTTGGATATGCTCCTTCCTTAGTCTTCTTATTCAAAGCATTGTTCTTATTGGCACTTTCCAATGCATGATGCATTAGATCATGTTTTGTGCTGTCGTTAAAGTATAACATTTTCTGATAACTCTTACCACCCTTTCTGTAGCATTGAAATAAATAAATTTTGTGCTTCTTTAACAATTTAAAATAGCAAAAAATATAAGGTTAATTGAAATTTTAACAATAAAAATCAATCAAATAGAAAAAAGTCAACTATATCGACAACAAAGTGATTAACCATTTTAGAACAAGCTAACAATTTTATGAAGAATACATTTTTCTCAAAATGACAATAATAAAGAAGTTTTTCCTCTTGCAAAGACAATCCGAGTACATACTGTATATTAAGAAAATGTGAATTAACTTTGTCAAGATTATAATTATTTTTTATTAATTATTAACTCTTTTCTTAACGTATAACTTTACGATAAATCATAAAAAACGCATTTAAACTTTAATGTCATTGTGATATGTACAAAAAAAGATGATTGCCGAATATTTCATTAATGCAATTAAGTTTTATACGAATTTGGTTACAGTTTGCGAGACACAGTTTTTTTCCATGATATATGTATGGGACAACCTTCAGAAAACTTGCCCCCAAATTACATGATCATGTTTATTGAAAGGACAAGTACGAATTACCTAAATATCCTAAATTGTTATTAAACAAACGTAAATTGCTGGATAGTTTTGGTACTAGTAATTAATGAAACTATATAATTAGCAACTAACAAAATAATTATTTCTTTTACTAAAAATTTGTAAAACAAAAATTATTAATCGTAATTATCAGATTATACAACTGTAAATCTAAACATTATTATTTAATTTAAAAAAAATATATAATATAGTGCGTGTTAATAATAAAGTACATAAAGAATATAAATACTAGCAACATTGTCTTGAGTCAATATTGAACTTGTTCATTTTTATCGTTGGCACTTTAACAAAGATGTGCGCTTGAAAATACATTAAAATAAACATAAATCCACATATATACACTACTGGACAATAATTGTCCTGTTATTACACTTTATTCACTAGGTCAGAGGGGCATCAAATACAGGGTATCCGTAAAGGGTATCCGTAACGGGGAGAAACAAAGTTATCTCTACACGAGCAATTCATGGGTGTGCTATAAATAATATTGTTTATTTTAATATTGTTAGTAATAACATCACTTACTTGTACAAACATTTCCAAAGTACCTAATCAATTTTATTTTTTTTCAACGTTTTTCCATCGTAAATGAGACATAATCTTTATAAAAATTAAAAAATTAAGGAGAAAAATAATAAAAATTTAATAAAATCACTCAACTATTTTACTGATAACGACTTCACTGTTTTCCAAGTTCGGCCTGCTGTGTAATATCATTTGATTAGATGTCTTTCAGAATATAGATCTATATCCAGGAAAAATCTACCATATCTTCTAAGATCTATAAGTTAATTCTCTTTCGTGTCGATTGCTGATTGAATTGGAGCCAGAAATGGCTCAAAACGAAATAAGTAAATTACCAACAGATATACAGGCTGAGGCGACAAACGCCATATCCAAACTACTTCCATTTGAATCCCGAATAACTTATGAAAATGAATACAAAAATTTTCAAAAATGGAAGTAATTAAATAACGTGCGAGAAGGAATAAATTTTTTAACCTATCCTCGCTGTTAAAGAATCATTTTTTGATGGATTTTTGATAGATATAAGGCAATTTTAACAGTTGCTATGGAAAAAAATAATACTTTTGTGATGTTTGAAAACAAATATTTTATAATTACTGAAGTTTCGATATTAGTTCATTGTAGTTTTCTGTATATTTCAGTAAAGATGAAGCTCAAACGTGCCATATCAGCTATACCCATATTATCATCCAGAAGAATTTCGAAACCAGGATCTGGAGGCCAAGAAAGGACAGATGATATTCTGACAAGTCTACGTAGAGTGTCGGAAACTTTAGGAGTAAAACAGGCGAAAGAACTCTATCTTAGGAAAGCCAGAAGAACCTCAAGATGGAGTAAGTTATTATTGTACTATACAGGGTGTCCTAGAAATAAGTCCAAAGTAACGGAGTTATTTTACTTTGAAAACTTCCAAAAAAAATGATGTTTTGCTAAAATTTTGAGAACCACTGGATCTTTTCTGAATTTTCTTTCTTGTAAATTTAGTCTACTACCTACGTTGCCATATTATCAAGAAATTATTATTTTTAAATAAAAACTAAAAAAAATATCCAAAAAAAATTTAAACAAATTCCG